GTTATTTGTAAGCTTACTTACAAATAACATTTGTAAGCTTACTTCACATCCTGTTTCCTCTCCAATTCGTGATTCTTTTGCTAGAAAATATTTTCAAACCACTGTGTGATATTCATATTGGCATTCAAAAATCATCAGCCTAACAGAAGGCTTAGTTTTCATTCAAAAGGATGTAGATTGAAACTAGTCACCGAACATTTACATTCATTGAAATTTCCCCATCTCACCAAGGTAATCTGCATTTTTAAAAACTTCAGTTATTCCATTACTAACATTGTAGATTTCTCCATTTCTTCCACTTTGTACTGTAAGAGCCATTAAATCAACAGATAACTGATCCATAATTAAGGCTATGTGGTAACAGCCCTCATCTGAGGGATATGCAGCTATAACCATCAGCTAGCTGGTGCACAAGAGTACATCAGCTTTGAAATGTCATAATGTGAAAAGTAGTAGGAAAAAAAAACACTGTAGTCCTGTAGGGGATAAAAATTTCAGTTTCAAGTAGATTCCTCTAAAAATTACACTGCTTTTTACCAGAGGTAAATTGTAGTTCCTAAAGTGTTATTTGTCAAAATTTTTACCTGCTCCTGAATTTCACTACCTCAGTCGTATGGAACCCTTATTTTCCCTTTTTTGTGTGCTGCACTCATTAAGTGTCCCAAAGCACTGTCCATGTGTTATCAAGCGTACCGATGAAACCTGAGGGGGGGATTCCTACCTTTTATAGATGGTAATTTAAAGTTTCAGGTAAAGAATGTGATAGGAAAAGAACAGTAATGTTTCAGTGATTAAACAGTAATGACAATTCAGTAAGACAGCACTGCTTTAAATGGTAGTGTTTTTCCTCCCCTTTAAAATCATACCAGATTTAAAGCAGTTCTAAGTAGTTCAAAGAGCAATTGGTTGTGAAGAACTAAAAAGCTGTCACTACTAAAAACAAGTTAATTACTTACAATTAGTTTTTCCTAAATAAACCACACGACCTTTGACAATAAAGCACTCTTTGGTGGACAACAGTTACATTGTGTACTCAATACTGCAGCTTCATAAAAAACTTTATACAAAGTAAGAAAGAACAGCTGATAACACAAGAGAGTACCAATACTATTAGAAATAAAAGCTTTTGTGGTTGATTCTCAGACTCAAGTGAAGACTTCAGCCCAGTCTGAACGCACAACACAGATTTATATACTTAAAAGCTCCCACCATCTGGTGATCAGCAGCTAAGTGATTGCCATCACAATTCGTACACATGCATCGTACATACTAGCAAGCCCTCTTTATAATAGAGAGCCTAAATATTTACACCTGAGTCTGAATGTACGTAGATTATGTTGGTTTTGAGAAAGTATTAGCATGGTAGAAAAAAGTCTACCAAACATGTTGACAGTTCATTTCATTCTACAAATAAAAAAGAGATTGTTCTATTTCATTTTTTACTGAAAAATAGAGCCAAAGTGAACTTCCTTGAATTGCATCAAGTCCCCTCTATATCCCCTTCACTCCTGAATATCCTCTTCAACACTGGTGGCTTATTCAAAATTCAACGCAATACTGTTCTATTCCTTGTGGCAGATTGGCTGTTGAAATAAAACATATTTGAGGGAAAAAGTTAAACATTACTCAGTATGTAATTCAGGCAAACATTTCTGGCAAGGTAAAATGAGCAAATGGTACTTCAAAGAAAGAAACAAAAAATCAAAGTCACTCCATTTAGTAACACAGCAATACTGATTGTCAAGGATGCACAGACTGGTCTGATTACAGACAATATGAAGAAAATTCTGTTCCATACAGAAATGCAAAAGGGGATTCAGAGTACCATAATTTAATTAAGCACATTTGTGTAAAGCATTCCTTTTCTTTTTCTCCCTCTGAAGTATCAGACTGCAGGAAAAGTAGGAAGAACAGGACAGAAACATATTTTTTTAAAGCTAGGTTTAGATGACATATAGAAAAGTTCTGAAACGCTGCAGGTAGTTTTCAGTATTTTAACAAGGGTATAGAAGACTACTTTGTACTACCTGGCAAAGCAAAGGCATATGAGATTTTTAAAGTGTATTCCTCTTCATTAGCTTTTGTGATATTCCTCTATACAGCTTTCATACCTTTTCCCCATTATAATTTTTTGTAATAACTTTACCTGCATTCCCTTAAGCACCTTTACCTATCAAAATGCCTTTACCACTTAGGATTTCATTTCTTATCAACTCCTTACTACAAATCAAATTTTAGTTCTGTTCTGTGTGGTGACATGGAAAAGACCATTTAACTTGTGTCTTATGACTCGGTTTGGATGTGAAGTATGCACCTTGTTAAAATACAGACATGAACTTCTCAGTAACTGGCAAATTTACAAGGAATATGTCTTATCTGGAGAAATAAGGGCATCCACAGAGAAACACTGGGTTATGGGCTAAAAATGTGATTTCCTGCAGCTCAAAACACAGATATGTGTTATGTCCATCAGTACTTTCTTTCATAAAAGGCAGCTGACATCTAAAGATGCTCCACAAAGGAAAAGCAGTGAGTGTTATAGATAGGATTGAAATTCCCTATGTTCTCTTTAAAAAGCCAGAATAATGTTTTAGATGTAAATAGCTCTTATCGCTGAAAAATCATTCTGGAGACAATCCATGGTAGGGTCTCCAACAGTCTGAAGGATGAAATGACAAATGAATTCCCTAGCTGTGCAGATTATACTGCATGAGGATGGGTCACAAGTGTGATTCACATACAAAAAGAATTGACTAAAGTGACATAATGCAGTAAATGAGATTGATGTAAAAATGTTGCAAGATGTTTCCACTGGAATGTATCAGAAAGAAAAAGAATAAGGATATACAGTAATGTCAGTGAAGTTCAGTGAAATAAACAAAGTCTTGACAAAGACAGATGCTGGTTAGGGCAGGATGTCAATATTGTAGAAATAAATAATTATTCTCTACTCTGCAATCCACTTGATCTGGATTAAGTTCAATGAATCTGAGTACTGTGAGGTAATACAAACTGCTCATACTTCAAGAAATCAAACTTACATGAAAAGGCATGCTTAAAAGAAGACTGATACTTTTTCAAATGGAACAGGAAAATAAAAGGAGACTTACAAGACTAACAACAAGGCACTGCATTCTAATTCCATTAAATTATATGGCCATACCACAAGACCCTTCAAAGGGACCAGCACCCAATTAGCCCTCTCAGATTATAAAACAATTAAGACATCTAGAATAAGGACAAATTTGATTATTGGATGGAAATATGAAACTAACTGAAACTTATTTGACCTCCACAGTTAGAAGAAAAGAAACAGTATATGGTGAGGTGTTTAGGGTAGAAGTTTTAGAAAGTCCATTAAAATATGAAGGAAGTAATTTATGAAGTTTAAGATTGACCTGGTCCTTGGCCTTCAGAGTCATACATCTGGCAATGCACTTAAAGGACTTCTTATGAAATTAATGAAATCTTCTGTGAGCTCTATTTTAGGGATGCTGTTTTTTCCTAAGGATAGGTATTCACATCTCACACAATACAAATGTTAGCTTGGAGAAGTGCTTTCAAGGAACTGAAAATCTCTCTTCAGATTACACTCATGCATGAATGTTGATACAAAATGTTGCAAGCAGGCTAGGTTAAAACTGGGAGAGGCATGAAGAATAAAAACAGCAGGCAGAATCCCATCAATTCTATTTGGATCAAAACTGACATGGTAAAAATTGGGTAAAATGGAGAAAAAATCCAACCAACCAAAAGGAAAACCTGGAAAAATACCACTGATTTTTAGTAAAATACCTGTTTCCTTTTCTTATTTTTTAATATGTTATTCAATAAATCAAAACAAGTCACAACTAAAATGTCTCTGAATAGGATTTACTGCACTCTACTGACTATTTCCACTGACTAACAGAGCAAATTTTTCCTAACTTCATTATCTTCAAGGGAACAGGATGAAGAAAGAGAAAGAAGAACTCTGTGAGGAAAAAGCTGCAAAACAACTTAAATTTTCAGAGATATTTATAAATCAAGCCAGTTAACATAGGAAGTAGTTATGTGCCATCTTTTACTCTTTCCAGTCAAAATCTCTTTAGCACCTGACAGATCCATTTTTCACTAAGAGTTTAAAACAAATTCCAGTAAATTGTAAGCAATATATATTGTTTTAAACTATGCTCTCAGAGTCATCTTTTATAATGACCTGGAGACTTGCCACTGAGGGGTGTGATCACAGGCATACACAAAGATAAATAATAGGAGTAGTCTGGCCATATGCTTCTGGGCCAAAAGGCACTTTCAGTCTTCCATAAATCCATTAGAATTTAGAATTTCATTAAGCTTTACCAAACAGGTTTACTTCAGATTATCAGCCATGCAATCAGTAAAAAAATCTCATACCAGTATACACATGCATACTGGTATTTTTTTATACACTTCACCTTTCCATAACCACTGCATTTCAGTTGTCTATTGAATCCTTCCATGAAGTTTTGACTTCATGCACTGACTAGTATATGACTTAATGCTGTGAAGAATTTTTCCGTCTCTCACTCCAGACAAAGGGGTTTTCATGTTATCAAAATCCCTTGTCTTCAGTAATTCTCACTCACATTAAGAATTACTATTTAAAATTCTTGAACTTGGAAGACTGAGCAAGACAAATAAATTACTTAAGATGTAAGGTTCCAGATGTTCTCAGTACATGACACAAACCATTTAATTGTTTCTCACTTTCCATTGCTAGGAGAAGGAGCTGAACTGTGGCAAAGCTCCTGCCAGCAGTGGATAGAACAGGTCAAAGTATTTGCCAAGAAAACAGTTACAGGATCTGTAAAGAGGGTAACTCTCACCTTTTTAAACTTTTTTTTCTTGCAGCGGACCTGGTAGTTCTTTTAGTAATGTCTGTACTGTCAGAAATGCTAGGTTCAGAGGTTTTATTTTTCTGAACACTGGACTGCAGAGTTACTCTGTAAAGAGTAGGAAAAAAGAAAGATTATATAATTGGAAAGTTCCTAAAAACACTGAAAAGAGTGTGTTACAATAGAGCTAACAAGTATCAGCTTTATGTCTATTTTCTATTCCATCTGTGCAAGGTTCCAGCTGTGAAAGTATGCACTGTTTTAGAGATTCTGACCTAGGAGTAACTTAGCTATTACTCTTTATTCTCCTGCTATCATTAGACTCTAATTTTCAGTGGCTTCAGTGAGTCCAGTCGTATGCGCAGATTACGTTAGACTGGAAATCAAAACCTTCATTAAATAGTGCAAGTTACAGTTTGGTCGGTTAATACTCTGTAAAAACTACTTTCACAGAATCCTAGATATGAATACTGAATGCTAACTTTTGGAGCAAAAGTGAACAGGAATATATAGGGAGAATATACATTTCTATATTCATGTAACATACCAAAAACAGAAATGGAAAAAACCTCCAATGTTTTCATTGTTTTATATGGGCTTCAGAATTAGAACATGTATTTGAGATAACACAATTTCATCTAAAATATATTCTTTATGCAGTAAAACTGATCAGCAACATTATTTTTACTGCATATACACTTCTTGATTAGCAAACAAATGCCTACATACCCACAAATTTCAAGTACTTTAAACTTCTACTTGAAAAAATCTCTCTTAGTAGTTCAGCCTTGCAAAATATTATTACTTGATTTGCAAATGTTCAAACAAAACAGCCAGTTGCTCAGGTAAGATACAAGGTTTCAATGACAAGTACTATGAAAATGCAATGCAAATTCTCCTGTAAACACAGGACATTAAAAGTTGAAGGAATTGCTTTTACAGGAAGCAGAAAAAACCACCCCCAGCTGCCTTCAACTTCATATCATACTTTAGACAAAAGAAATTCTTCTAATGAAAATGTTTTCCTTGCATGCCCAAGGTGAAAACATTTAAAACCTGAAAGCTTATGTTTTAATTTCTACTGTGATTGTAAAACAGTTTTAGCAAGTTCTAATATTGAAATTCTTTTTTCAGTGCCACAGTTGTCATACAGAATGAACAAATTCAGTCCTACCACACTTTAACCAAGCACTAAAAATTACAGCAATGGTGAGATAAGACTTGCATTATACCATTCATCTGTGCTGATAGAGACTCCTAGGAATGAACAGAAAAGCACGAGGTTATGCTTAACCTCGTAACATTCGGTCACTGAAATATAAACACGAACAGATCATGGCACATTCTGTTTTACTAGAGCTCATGCAGCCAGAAATATGGAAAAATCATGTTTTCTCCTTAAATATACATTTGGTGTCTCTCTGCATAAAATGCATGCAATGTACATATAAAAGAAAGCAAAAGTTATTGGAATACAATTTTTGTAATCCTTCTCTCATAAACACCCGTTTTTCTAGATGCCAGAAGTTCAGAAAACTGGTCAATGTACGTGGCTTATGCCCATGTACGTATCTAACATGAACTGAAATGTGAGCCAGCAGTGTGCCCTTGTTGCCAAGAAGGCTGCTAGTGTTCTGGGGACCATCAGGAAGAGCACTGCCAGCAGGTCAGAAGAGGTGATCCTGCCCCTTTACTCAGCCCAGGTGAGGCACATCGGGAGTGCTGTGTCCAGTTCTGAGCTCCTCAGCACAAGAGAGACATGGAGGTCCTGGGGAGAGTCCAGTGGAAGGATATGAAGATGATAGGGACTGGACATCTCTCTCATGAGGAAAGGCTGAGGGAGCTGGGTCTGTTCAGCCTCCAGAAGAGATGACAGAGGGGACTTCATCAATGTCTGTCAGTATCTGAAGGCAGGGTGTCAAGAGCCAGGCTCTGCTTGGTGGTGCTGAGCAATAGGAGGCATTGGGCACAAATGGGTGTACAGGAAGTTCCACCTGAATGTGAAGAACTTCTGAACTTCTGAACCTAACACCCGAACTTCTTTACTGTGCAGGTGACTGAGCTCTGGAAGATTGTCCAGAGAGATTGTCAAGTCTCTTGCACTGGATATTTAAGAACCATTTGGATGCAATCCTGCGCCATGTAGTCTGGGATGACTCTGCATGAGCAGGGAGGTTGGACCAGATGACCCACTGTGGTCTATTTCAACATTTATCCATTCTGTAATTCTGTGAAGCATTATGAATTCTCAAGATAGCATTTTGAACAAACATTTAAATATTCATCTTTTCAATATCATAAGGTAGCCCTTCCCAAAAAATTTCATCTTATCTGTTGAAAACAAAGAAAGAAAATAATAAAAGCTCTAAGTGGAAATGTGACTTATAATAAAAATAGCCACTAGGAAACCAAAACAACCACAAAAACATCCTTGTAAGTTTGCTGCATTTGCCAAAGGGAGATAACAAGATGCCTTATGGGATCAGCTCAGAGCCAGCTGTGAGCAAAGTAGAATCTTTAACATCATCTGCTCTTCAGTTGATATGTCATTTTTACATCTAAGATACATGCAACTTCACTGGGCTACTCGACTCTAGTAAAGAATAATTGAAATCACTGTGAACAAAACATTTGCTAAATTATCACACAGACATTTTAAAATCAGACTAGAATTCTAGACTTCCAAGGCTGATAGCACCTCAAGGAAAAGAGACAAGGTTTCATTTACACCACTGTCTGACAGGTTGTTGCAATTAAACACCCAGAGCTGTCTTTGAGCCTCACAACTGTCAGCTGAGGAGCTGCAACAGTGCTATCACAGCTTTTATTAGAATGCTACCGCATATATGTTAAAGGTGAGAGAAGAAACTAACACATGGAATTTTGGTTTAGCACAATTAGACTAACAGCCTCACTTGATAGCAGGAGGTTCAATAGATAGGTTTTATAATGGATGTGAGATGAAGAGGTAGAGGTACAGGAAAATTGTGTCAAAATGTCAGCCTGAAAAACATATCCCAAACTATATTAGAGAAGTGTAAGATCTCAGGACACCTACCTTACTTCTTTGGAGCTGTTCACATAAAATAGTATGTCACACAACTTCCAGAAACACCAGCAAACCCATCTGATGTACACAAAGGTTTTCTAACTCATTTGATATGATAAAAAAATGAAAAAAACCAACCAACCACCACCACCACGACCACCAAAACCTCACAAAAAAGAAACAAACAAAAAAGCAACCAAAAAACCCCCAAAACCCTGCAGGCTATAGGATGTTGTAATGGTCACACTATTAAACATACATTTACATTGTAAGAATTTTTCATCTCCAATTCATCTGTAATAGAAACATCACTTGGCAGTTCTGATCCTAAATACACACCACAAATAGCAGACTAGTTTATATACTGCTTTCTTATTCAAGTGAATACTTTGGCCTTTAAACAAATAAACAAATAAAGACCTGTTTGAATGGAACAGTGTAAGGAGCAGCAACTTTTAAATTACTCACAACTCTTATTCACCATTTAACTCAGTGCAAGGGCAGAACACAGGCACACCACCAGCACACAAAAACCCAAACTCCACAACCTGAGACAAAATCCACAAAACTTGAATTGCAAGCAGTGTAATACACATTGGACAGAAATCAGTCCACACAACAAGCTTTTTTAAAATAAGTGATTGCAGAATCCTAAGCAGGGATGAAGAAAAAAGAGGTTACACAGGTGCGTGTCTTCTCTATCTGCAAAAGGCATTTTAGTCTTGCCAACCAATCTGGGCAACCTGTCTTACAAGGTCTGTCAAGTGCAATACTGCTTTCTCCTTCATCACCCATGATTTTTAAGAAAATAGACCTGAGACCTCTGCTATTCTTCCAAGTCATTGACAGGCAACAAGTGACCAATAACTCCTCAGCATACAGGGCTCCAGCCAACACAACTGCCAGGCTAGCCCAGATTGATCCATGATCCCTACCGATAATTTGATCTATTAACACATGAGATACTTGCTGCAGAAAGAAGAGAAAGTTAGGCAAGCTTTTAAGAAAAGCCTAAGTGTTTTCTCTCCTTATATTTAAACCCACATTGTTAATCTTGAAAATCAAGCAGCAGCACCAGAAATTGGAAATTCACAGCAAACGGGAATAACAAAATTGCTTGCATCACATATACCAACATCAAACAGCCTTTTTCATCTAGCAAGGAATAAGTGTTTCTAGTTTTTAGACAGAACACAGACACAGTAAGAGAAAGAAAGGATGATAGTTGACTGAAATTGATCTTATAGCACAGTACAGCAAAACAAAGCACAGATTGTTTCACCTCTTTAACCTGTGTTTTAAGTTTAGCTTTTTAGTAAGTGTTCAGAAATCTGAGGTCTGACTTCCAGAGACCACTGAGAAAAGAAAGAGTGCTCCATTCACTGTAAAACTTTGAAAACACACCTCTCATGTTATTTGGAATAATGCCTCTCAAGTAAGTTATTTGACAAGGTTAGGGGGAAAATTAAGCTGAAATGATCTTTATTTCTTTATAATTTCTTTCTCAAAAAGAACAGATTAAGATGACCTCAGTGAAGGCTAACTGAATAACTAACCTGTCCAAAGTCTCCCAGTTCTCATTCTATAGTTATCCAGTCACTTAGGTCAGCAGAAAAAGTTTCATGCTTTTTAAAAAGTGCAGACAAAAAGTTGCAAGGCCAAAGGTATGGATGACAGAAAATCTCAGCCCTTCATGCCTGTCAGGAGAGAATGCCTATTCTTAATGAGTAAAAGACTTTCTGACCATTTTTTTAATCTGACAGCACCAAGATTTCAAGTATTCACCCACAGTAATCATTCTGCTTTGAGGGTGGTGATGACAGAGAAGCTCCAGGGAGGCACAGAAACAAGCAAAAAGTTCATTTGCACTTCCTCACAGTTCTGTGTGCTGTTGGAATTTTATTTCACCAAAATATGTAAGTTGTCATTTAATGAAAACATTGCACCTTTTAAGTAGAAGCAAGGCACAGAAATCACTGCAGCTACTCTGATGAAAGTGGAGTGAAGAAAGAGTGAAAACTGTACTCAAGGAACTGATATGCTATTAATGTTTTCTCAGCTGCTGAATCCAAGTAACAGAATAAGGAATGTAAGTAGTCTCCTAAAGCTCTAGAAAACATAACTGTGAACAAAAGATGATGGAACCAGACTGGCTGGGTAAACAAGTGAGCCTGGACCTAACACTGCGACTTGCCCCATCTTCTTTAATGTCAAAAAGGTATAAGAAGTAATGTTTTATGACATGGCATATAAAATTTGATCTCTTCGTAGAAACAAAGACCTACTGACATTTCTAACAAATTCTAATTCTTGGCATTTCATGGGAATAAAATAATGTGTTGGGAAACTAGCCTACTTTGCAAGTTCATGACCTTTGAAGTAAAACTGAAGCTAACATTTGCATCGGCAATATGCAAAGGATAGGATCATATTTTAAAGCAGCACTTTATTTCTTACAGATAATTTTGCTTATGTAGTTTTAAGAGCTCTTTGCCTTTGTATATTGTAAGCCAGCCATAAAAATCACTCAATTATTCCAAATAATATACACAAGAATATAACAAAGCCAGAGCAGTGAAATTCACTCTTGCAACAAAGCCAGTAAGAAAAATGACATGAAAACATGCATTTAAGAGACATACTAGACAGAAAGTGTGAGCTATTGTAGAGAAATGGAATGGGACACTTACACAGTGGCTCTCTCTCAGGGGGTCCTGATGGTTACTATGTTCTTAAACCATCTAGACAGAATAGCAGGCTGGGCAGAAGGGAGCCACATACAATCCACCAGATGACAATGCTAAACAGTGTAGACACCAGCATAGCTAGGAGCCATCTAAAAAGGGATTGGAGGGGGAGGTAGAGATGAAAAAAAATTCAAAGCAAAAGCTATTGGTGCATTTTAGCTTGTTTCAAGTTCTTCAAAAGGATACTGCTCTATAAACTTTGTCAAGCATTTCTTACTTTCTATGACTAACAATCCATACAGCCATAAATTGCCAATGTGGTACCCCTATGCTGCTGGAATCAAAGCAAATCTTCTGAAACCCACACCAAAGTCACCTATTTCACACAGTCTGTATCACTCTTGGAAAGAATTGTGTGCAGGAGCAGTACAGCTCTGACCACTTGCTGCCATCTCTTATGCAGTTTGATCAGCCTGTATTCACACATTTTACTTCACAATCATACATTCTGATACTAAAACATTACATCACAGACAGGTATGTCTGCAGAAACAAGCAACTTATATAAACAGGGGGTGTATTACCTTTCCGTGTAAGAAGCAAAAGCCAATTCATAATCCTTTGCCACAGGTGCAGAATATTGCTTATTAGAACATACATAAAATATCCAGTCATCAACACATAAAGAATTTATACAGCCAACCTCAATAAACACTCTATACAAGTCCCTTGTGACTTAAAAGTAAATAATGCCTCTATTTTTCAAAGACTAACTGTCCAAGCTTCTGGTGCTCTTACTTTGCCCCCCCCGACCCCCCTTATTTTTTCTTCTGAAATAGAACTACTTGGAAGATTTAGAAGCTTCTGTTTGTTTGTTTGTTTAGATAAAAGTAATCAATTTCACTGCCAGAATAATTATTTTAACAGACTAAACTAAAAAGGAAACAGACACTCATCTCTTGTAGTAGAAAAAACTTCTGACTCACGTAAGGCAGCTAAATATTCCTTGCAATAAAACAACAGTAACGCAAAGGAATGTATGAGTTTACACATTCATTTTTCACTGAATTATTTCAGTACAAGTCGCAACCATAAAAATAACTCAGGGGAACAGAAAGAGGTAAATTGAAGCTCCTTGAGCAACAATGCACAATGTAAAGATGAGCTATAAGCTCCAGGTCAGTTAGTTTAATTCTACACAAGTACAAGCTAATTAGAGCAGATGTTGCAGAACGTTTCATGAGCCAAATAATATTTTGATAGTAGATAGGTTTTGTATTAAGAAGGTATTAGGACAATGGCTCTGAATAGGTTAACACACAGTCTACATTCATCATATGGAACATACAGTGAGCGTATGGCAATTAAATACTTGACAATTAAGGCACTTCTGTGCCTCGGAAACTAATCTGCAAGGTAATTGTTTTTTTAGTGTGCTATTTGAAATAACTGAGGTGATGCATTTTGGTATTTTTTAAGTCAGCTGGGCACAGTTTTTGTTCTGAGTATGTTGTTTCTTATATGGCTGCCTGTGTAAATGATAAGCATGAACAGAAGACAGTAATTTAAAACAAAAGGGGAAATCAGACATAGCAATGTGTGAAGGTTTCCAGAGATATATTCCTTTACCTTCAGCACATTTTTACTACATACTTCTCACTTTTTCTAAAAGTCTGCTGACAGTGGTGATCTTGAAAAAGAAGAAAAAGAAAATAAAAAGTCCAGCAAGGTAGCAGCATCATGTCCTACAGAAGGACAACACAATAAAAGTCATGTTGACTGTGGCCTGTGATTTTGGTCACGTGTGATTCACAAAAGTCTGACAGCCAGGGGTCACCATTGCTTTCCTAGCAATCAAACGCGATCCTGCAAAGTTTTCCAAGTGTTGCATTCACTTGCAGTTTGTTTAAGGGCAGGCAGATATATTTTGCACCCACAGTTCTTACAAGCTACAAAAGATGCAAACTTTCTTTTACAGGTGATGTTTCAGGACTTGTCTAAAATAAAGAGACTACCAGCTTCACTGACAGAAATGCAGTTCTTTGAATTTGTTTACTGAAACAGTGGCTACTCTGCCTTCCAGATCCACCAGACATAATCACAAAGCCCACAGGATTTAGGGAGAGTTCTCTTCCAAGGAAGAGAAAATGAAAGAAAGCTAAAAATCCTTCTTTCAACTCTGACTTTACCGACTTTACTTCAAACACCAGGACATAACTTATTTGAGCCAATCAAACAAAACCACACATAGTCATATTCTTTTGTTTTTATACTACCACAGGACAGACAAGGGAATGTTTGTGATTAAACTAAAAGTAAAGCATTCAGAAGTGCTATAGGAGCTTGTAAAGTGCAGAATATCAGCTTCAAAAACTATGCAGAAAACTAGAAATTCAGTAATACAGTTCTTTAACCAAATTGTCCTGCCTCCTCAGCATTCACCAAGCCTTCAGAGAAATGGTGAACCTCATGTTTGTTTTAAGGGAATAAAAACAGCATTGATAACAAAAATTTGTGGGCAATGGGAAGTATGCATGAAGAAAAGGATAGAAGTGTTTCTGGCATTTTATATATTCAGAAACTGACTTACGCTAGTGGAGATGCAGTTGGAGCTTTTGCTTGCCTTTTGCTTTTCAGAGCACGAAGCTTATCCCCTTGTGTTAAACAGTTTGTTTCGTCATCATCACTGTACTGAATAAGTGGAGGGGGGAAAGGGATAAATCAAGATTAAATATAGGCACTTTGATATATAAGAATTAACTTTATCTTAAACCTTAAAATTAGAATTATCTCAACAGGATAAAGTCAAAGGAAATTCACTTGCATAAATATAGTTCTGTTTCTTCCAGTTTCCTGTTTGCTGCCTTAGAAGCTGTAAACCATTAAGTGGTGTCATGACTTACATGCATTGGAATATTGTCTCCTTTTAAAGCATTGGAAGCAATATATTATAAAATCTTTGCTTAAGTACAGTATGATCTTCACTAAATACAGCATTTCCCTTCTTCAGTTGCCTTTTTAAAACAGCAGAACTGTCTTTTTCAAAAAGCACCATCAAAAGGTATTACAGAAGTTGCAATTACTTAGAAACTAAAATGAGTAAAAATGATAAGCATAACCCACCCTTTCATCCCCTCCCTTTAAATACACACAGTGAAGCAACAAACATTCCAAAATGAAATCAGTGTTTTTGATTGCAGAATGTATGTTTTTTCTATTGTTGACCTAATTACAGAAGACTAAAACATGATGATGCTCCTACTTCACCTGTGTTCTAAACTCCATTTTTCATAACTGCCATCCCTAGTTTCCTCCCCCTCCCCCACATCCTTTTATACAAAAAGGGTGAACAGAAAAAAAATTTGATTAACAAAGTTTTAGTGCACCCACAGGTTTTTTCAAAACCTGAGAGATTCTCAACAGTTTCAACTTTTACAAGAGCACAATATTTGGATGGTTACCAGTTCAATGTCCTTTTGGATGCTTCTCCTGTTTCTTGTGTTATTAATTGAAATATCATCTACTCCTGACAGAATTCTTGTTACAGCAATTTTATGGTTTCGTTTCAACTTTGCACGGAAAATATCCCCTTCTGTCCAAAGTTCTGCCTGTTTGCTATCATAACATGGAAAAAAAGGCCCAAAACACAACAAATTAACACTGAAGATTGTTAAGTGTATAATAGAAGAAGAAGAAGAAAAATACATCTAGATTTATTTTTGGCAATAATTTACACTCAATCTACTTACTCCATCAGGAAATGCTGTTGTGGTCCAATCACAGAACCAGGTCTATTTATTCTGATCCAGGCAATAGATTCAGCAGCTGTCATCCGATAATGCTTCATGATGTAACAGGCAATAAGTGTGCCAGTTCGTCCGAGACCAGCTGTGTAATATAGAAGAATGGCTTCTTTTATATATCCATCTCCATCTGGAATCTGTTGTAACTACAGACACTGTTACTTGGGCAAGTAGTCACCTGCCTAATTTATCAAAACAAACCTCTACTTATCAAATGTGGTAAGGGAAACTTAGTCTTTAATCTGTTTCATCATATACAAGGTTACTAACACACTCTCCATATTTTCTTTGAGTGAGGTAACCCTCCAAAGCCAGCAAATTTACAAATATCTGTAAGTTTAGCTACCTTTATTTACCTATCTATCTATGAATATGTATGAAGGTATGAGAATGCTTATAAGGATGGGATAAAACAGTTGGCCTTTTTTTTCTTTTCAGAATTCTCCCAGCACCTTCTTGCAAACTAATCATACATTGTACTCATTGCACTGAAATTAGATGTTCTCCCAGCCCCCCCTCTAATTAATCTCTTTAACTCCCAAGAAAAAAACAAATTTTGCAATAAGCAAGTCTGGGCACTAGCTAGCACAGAAAAGAAGTACTCCAGAGTAAGAAACCTTATTTAAAATGGCCCTCAAAACAGTTCTATTTACCTTGGGAAAACATGAGAAGCAAGAGAGGACTGCTCCAGCTAAGTGGCATCTCTCCTTAATCACTTGCTGCACATGCAAACCACACACCACCTTAGCTCATTTAAAAATTAACTGATCAACACCACTGTAAAATCTTCTGTATAACACAATAGCCAAGACAATCACACAGTAGCTTCCATAACTTGCTTTAGGAACTTGCTTTAGCTTTCTATGACTTCCATGACAGCTTTAGGAACAGACTACAGCATTCTACACTTCCTCAAGAGTAAGCGCAGTCCAGACACCATTAGTCTGACATCTACCAAAGAACACCTTAATTTAAATGAAAACAAAGCACTTGTATCACTGATACTCAATATTCTGGCATAACCACTTAAGCAATATGCCTGAATTTATCACCTCAGTGAAGAATAAGAGTATGGACTTGTTTTCCCAGAGTCAAGATGCTGGTTTCAACAATTCTTTCACTTTATAAAATATAATTCTGTTAAATGCAGCAAACAGATGGCAGATACAGGAACAAAACTGCAGCCTTTGCAGGTCCAAAGAAACAGGTTAAGAAAAGGCCCTTCTCCTTCAATCACAGCATTATCAGATACACTAGTAATGCAAAGCTGTGGAGAAGAAATGTCTGATAGACTATTAAAGATGCTGTGGGAAGGGAAACATACTGCCTCTAGAACAACTGAAAACATATATAACAGCTATACTAGCTGCATTGGCCAGGCTCTTACAATCTTCGCAGTTTAACTCTGGAGGAATGGATATTCAGAGCATGCCCAAATTAGTATAGTTTCTGAGGGATGAAGATTTTGGTAGCTATACCAAAAGAAGAGCACTCATACACTTTGAGAAATCTCCCCAAAATACAACACTGTTTCCAAAACTTTACCACTTGGTATATTTAAACATGTATTTTCAGATAGAACTTGACAGGACTTCAAATGCCTTCCCAAAGCATCCTTTGAAAGTACTAACACTTTCTAGCAGAAACAGCTATTAATATCGGTAATCTCACTTTCCCCAGTCTCATTTTGGGAATGGCTTGGAAGATTTTTCTGGTACTTAACAAAATTAGAAGTTGAAGCGCTGAACAGAATCATAGAAATAATTTTAATGGAACAGTTGCAGTTTGGCAGACATGTTAATAACTAGATATAGTAGAATTATATTGCAAAATAGCTCAGGAACTGTAATTATAAACATCACTAGCGATATAAACTGGTTTTTGCATCATACCTTTGCAATGCACGGCTATTACACCTTCAGCATTTTCACAAATATTTAGAAATGTTTTAACTATAGTATCACTAGGTGTGCTTCCATCAGCAAAGAAGAGATCAAAATGCTCAAATCCAGCATCTGTAAATCGTTTGGCATCATACAGTTTTTTGTTGAGGCGTATTATAGTGGTGACCTTCTTTTGCTTGAAGTATGGGAAATAAGCCTCTGGAGCATGGTGGGGATAGCCTATTTGAGAACAGAAGATAAAAAAAAGAGTAAGGCTTAAAGTGAAGAAATAAAAAATATTAAAAAAAAGATATGAAAACACTCCCAAAACAGAGAGAAGATAAAGAAATAGACTAACTGAAAATGGAATTTTAATACAATCACCTAGGTCAGATACAATTAAACCAAGCATTAAAATTTTACTGCCAGAGTTCTTATAAAAGGAAAAGAGCCAAGGAAAAAACACACTGTTTGAGGAACAATTTTTAAAGCTTGTTCTTACTGATAACAATCAACTAAGAAAGTAGTGGGCTTGTGTTCCCCACCTCCTTTTTTAAGCATACCATTTTCAATTTTACTTCTTGAATGAGGTCCACTGAAGGCAATGAATTTGTTTGGTATTATCCAGTTAAAATCTCCATTTTCTGCTCTCTGTCAAGAGAAAATGCTTGGTTTATCATTATCCCTGTATTTTCAGGCTTTTCCTTATTGTTTCAAAATACATGCTAGATAGAATTGATGTATAATTTTTGTCAAAGGAAGGTGTGTTAGTTGGCTGCTTTCTTTTTCATCATGAGGATGACAGATGCTCTCAACCTCACATTTCTCCCCTGTGTCCCTGTCTTTCTAAATCAGAGTTTTAGAACAACACAACTGATGCCCTTCAGATGAAGAGCAACTTCCAAATTTTTATTTTTTATAGGATTCTAAATTGATCTTACCAATTGGTCTTACCACCATTCACAAAATATATAATGAGTTTTTCAGCTCAGGACCATTTAATTTTCTCTTTACAGACATCTGGCAGCTTTGCATTTCTGAGACTGCATACAATCAGGAGTTGCAGTCTTTCATTGTGACAATAATTTCCTACAACTCAAAGTGAATTTTATGCACTTGGAGATTCCCAGCCCTGTTTTCTTCTTTACCTCAAAGAGTGTTATTACATTTTTGCCATGTGTCCTCAAATACATACTTTGATTGTTCTCTAGCATTCAGTTAGACTTGGGCTTGTATGCCCTTTAGTTTTCATCAAGACTGCTCAAGAATATCCAGGGTTTTACTAATAAAGGAGACTCTCATTTATTTCCATTTTGGTTTCTGCTTTTCCCCATGTTTGAACATAATTATGCTTAAATCTGGATTTTACTATTATCTCTCTGACCACTAACCTTTATTTAACTTAACCTTTATTTAACTTATCATAACTTAAAGAGACAAAACAAAAATGGAGCTTAATACTACAAAAGAATAGCAGAAATTATAACCAATTGCTTTAGCATTAGTAACAGCAAACAAATCAAGAAATTGATATTGAACACTTACTTCGTAATGCTCATATTCATCTACATCAAACGTACTAAAATCCAGGAAACCATACTGCAAAGCCTAAAATTCAGAACACAGCTCTTAACAAAGATGCCTCTTCAATGAGGACAGTTTATTACTCTTTTCAGTTACATAAAGTCCTTTAGTACACACTCTCCTTCTATCTTCACAAAACTTAAGAATACAGAAAAACTCAGTCTTGCTTCAAACTAGGTTTGTAAATTTCAATATAAGTGAAGTTAGATGAATAAATCAACTTTTTTGTTTTCACAAAATCACTATAAAAACCCCAGATTACTGAAGCATTTAGTCTTTTCATTATTGCTAGCTGCACAAAATAAAAAGAAAAATAACCAGCAAAAAAATATCTATTGAAGCTATGAGTAGATTCTAAAGACTGCATTCAAGGACTGGAGATATTTTTTGTGCACAAATTCTATTTGCTAATATCTTCACTGATTTGAAATTGCTTGCAGTCACAAAGTCCTAAGTAGATACTACTGTGAGTCCGTATGTCCCATAATTAGCCACAGCCATAATACTTAACACTGTATAAAAAATGTAAACATTTGGGTAACTAATAGTTTATCCACTTGTTAAACAGGAAGACAAATACAGATAAACCTCCTACCTCCAGATATTAAAAATACTACATTCCAATTTTCTTTTTTACTACCTAATCTTCTGCAGCTTTGCTTGTTGCTCACCTGCAAGAACATCAATGCACCAGTCTTGGCATACAAATAACCAATTTCAAAATACCCAGAAAAGCTGAAAAATCATCAATCTTCAAGAAGATGACTTAACCAGTAAAAATGTCACTATTTGGTAGAGATACCCATAATACAAAACAATAATATGGTGGAGAGCTGCAGAATTCCATTTCACTATTCATACAGACTAAAAATAATGTGATTTGATTCCCTTATCCTTTAATGCTGCATTACTTCACTGCTATATTGCTATAAAACCTAGATTTTATAATTTTATAGTTAAAAAAAGAAGCACCTACTTCCTAACATTTGTTCTATTTCTATTACTGAAGCAAAATCTGAAATCATTACCATGTGCTGCAAATGCCAGAAGTATATAGCAAACCCATTCAAAACCCTATGTTCAGCCTAATACATAACACCAGGGGGCATACAATAAACCTAATACAAAGCTCTTAGGATTAGAGGTGAATTACTGTCCCAATAGATTACACAAGTAAAACTCAGAATTCCCTCTATAATGTCTTCACTTGATTACATAAAGTACTGGTAGACTTCTAAGAATGCTATATCTATTTTGTGACAATGCATAATGCATAGTAAACTAGGCAACAATCAGCAGATCTGCTAGTTCACAGCTTTAATTGGATCCTAGTTTCCTAAGCCTTCTTCTTCTGATGGGCAACATTTAGCTACTTTTTTGAAATGTGTAAAATATTTATTTACTGACCTTGTTTATTGCATGAAAACAGTCCAGTAACGTTAGATGAAAACTGCAAGTACCAAAGGAAGCATCCCTATAAGATACAATGACCAAAACATAATTATTGTATTTTAATCCAAGTGAAAGCAATTGAAGATACTTCTCTAAAACACCTTTTAAAATTACTTCAAGGTAATGATTATTAAACTGAAATAATTATATCAAATGATTACTTCATTTCCCATACATTGAATCTTACAAGAATAACAACATAAAATAACTTCTATTAACAGATACAACAGTAAGATTACTCCAGCTACAGTTTTTGTAAAGCAGAAATGTTCAATTTCTGACATGGACTGTTAGTAAAAATGTTCAATTTCTGACATGCACTGTTATACTAAAATATTTAGTAAATATAGTAAATATATAAATCTAATAGTAATTATACAATAAATTATAGTAAATATAATAAAATAGAATAAAATATTTTCCTTAGTAAATAAAATATTTTCCTTAAGAAGCATAAATAGTTAATGCTTACACAAGAGGAGAAACTAGTTTCATTAAAACAGCTCCTTTCAATGACAAGTTTTTTAATTCTGTTGATACAGGAATTGCATGTTCTTAGTATGTGACCATTATAAAATTTCATAAGCACTGCAGATTACGAATTCTACAGGAATACTATAGTGAAGTAAATAAATTAATTAAACTGAATCTAAACCAGAGAACCATTAGAAAACATTTCATGTTCAAATTTCAGCTGAGATGAAGAAGAATTTTGAAGAACCTGGATAGCTATCTCTAGTAATTTTTTCTATCCTTTCCTTCCTTATGAATCAGTGAGAAAAAGGGCAGAAATTAGGAGGAGACAGAAATAATAGAATGTTACTCAAGTCAAAGAAAGGACACATAAAGGTGACATCATAGTAGCACGTGTATCAGACCACCTGATGAGAAGGAACAAATGGATAAAGCCTTCTATAGTCAGATGGAAGCAGCCTCACATTCTTAGGCCATGGTCCTCACAGGGAACTGCAACCACTCCGATATGTTTTGGAGGCATAGCACAGTAGGGCACAGGCAACAGAGATGGCTCCTGGAATACACTGATGACAACTTCCCACTTGCCAAATACGTGCAGCAATCTGCAAATACTGCCTTGTGATAAAGAATGCTATTAAGTATTGCAAGCCCTCGGTGGTGAATGACAGATATTTTGATATGTTTAACTATCAGCTACTGGCACAAAATCAGACTGCCAAGTGAGAAGCAATAAGGAAGATTAAAAAGCTCAATGAGTTGACAAAACAAAACAAAATAAAATAAAACCCCAGAAAACCAACACAGCAGAAATTAGTACTGAAAAATGTTACATTCTTCTTCAAAATATCAAGGTACCGAAAGTTCTATCAACTTGTTATTTACCTGAAAGGAAGATATGAAACACTTCCTGACAATATAAGCCTGTACACATCTTCTGGGGATTCTCTCAGGTATATTATCTATTTTTGGAAAAAGACAGAAAAGGAAAAAGATTATTTTATGATAGACTTCAATAATTTCAAGTAATTTGTTTACTACAGAAGGCATAATTAATTATCACAGAGTGCAGAAGTGCTGGAAAAGACTGGAATCAAGAACAAATGTTTCAAGTGTGCAACAATAAAACTAACACAAACAATAAAAAATCTTGTCAATCTAAAGAAATATATATTTTAAAACAATCTTTATAGATTTGTGCAGGAGTTGTTCAGCTATAGACTACAGTGAAAAGGCTCCTGTTCAACTGAATTCTTACATTTCTACTATGACTCGGCTTCACCAGTTTGTAAATTTGTTTAAAATAAGCTTTTAAGATGTAAATCTAAACATAAAAACCTGAAGAGATATCAGTAAAGCTATCATCTAGTACACAAATTGTGGATACACACAGCAGACAAGACTAAAACAGTTATTTATGTTTGATCTTCCTACAGAACATTTACATTAATCCAAATTCTGTACTTCCTCTTTTGCACCTCTGGGGCAATATCCAGTAAAACTAAATCCAGATGTCATAAACTAAGAGAAAACAAAAAGAAAAAAAACAAACAAATAGGTTCAGAAGCAAAATACTATGAACAGAATGAATCGAACTTTCTACTGTCAAAAACACTCAGAAAAGAATTCACAAAGGACCAACTTACGAGAAATATCCGTATGGTCTTCCATCACAACATGTCTGATCCCTCTTGGATAGCCTTTAACACTAAGGTCTCCTTAAAGAATACCTAAAACTCCTCTTTTTTGCATATCTCTTCTTCAAATACCATTAAACACCATCCCCAGCATGGCCAGGAGGTAACAACTGTTAATAACAAGCTGTCATTAACAGGTCAATATTGAGTAATTTCAAGTTAATACTTTTTCTTTGAAATTGCTTTAATACTCTACAGAAAATTGTGGGTTTTTTCACTAATTTTCAGTGAAATTATTTATTTCTTTTATACTAATGACATTTTCCCTTAGAGATATTTGAAAGTAAAAATCCTCATGAGTATTAATTAAATATCTTCCAAAAATCAAGGCATGGTGTATTTACTTTCTGTTGCTCTGGACATTTTTTCTTTAAAATGTTGGCATTGCCTTTCAAATTTCTTTGATGCTGCCGCAAGGCCAGTTTCAACAAATGGCTTAACATACCTTAAACATCCTCTCTCCACATACACACACAGAAAACAAGAGTTAGAACAGATGTTGCTAAAAAAACCTAACAAACAAACCCAGCCTGAAACACAATCTAAAGAGACAGCTAAAGCAGACATGGCCAACAGGTGACCCCTTTGATTTTCCTGATTCAATTAGTGCGTTAAGTATTTTCAGAGCATTCTTCCCTTGAAATTGGCAGAAGAAAAGAGAAAAATAAATCTTGAGACATAGCTAAGTAATGAAAACTGCATGTTTTGTGTATGTGTGCTTTCACTGGGGAGAGATAAGCGACTTCTGCATTTATATTTGCAAGTATACACTCAAAATAGAAAAGATACTTCAAAAGCCTCCCCAAGTATAATGAATAGCTTAGCCTCTGACAGCAAAATTCACTTTTTATTCTACAAACATTCATTGCCTGATTTGGATGTAAAGGTTATCTTCCAAGAAATTTCAAATTGTGTGCTTTGCTACAGTCCTAATTTGCATCTTGCAGGACAGTGAACACATATTGCTAGCAACCATACACATCAAGCCCTTCTTGTTTACCAGGAAGAGAGCCCTGTTCCTGAAAAACTTACAAACCCGAGACATGAAATGGAATTAAAAAAACAGACAGTAATTAGACAGGGTTTGTAGCCAGAAATGAGTCACCTGGAAAAAACTGGATTAAAGAATCACAGAATCAATTAGGCTGGAAAAGATCTCTGAGATCATTCTAGTCCAACCTTTGCCCAAACATGATCATGTTAACTAGACCATGGCACTGTGTGCCATGTCCAGTCTTCCCTTAAACAGCTTGTCCACCATCTCCCTGGGCAGGCCATTACAATGTTTAATCAATCCTTCACCCTTCCTGTGAAGAAATTCCTCCTAATGTCCAACTGGACTTAAGTGCTATCACTGTGTAGTATACAGAGCACTAATCGTACCACAGGCAAATAGAAAGGCAACTAATACTACGTGATTTTGTAAGCTTGTATAAAAGCTCAGCTGAGGTATGAGAGAAATCCTTGGCCTTTCTGAGCTACCAGCTTCTTAAAGGAAACAAGACAGAATGCAGAAGCATTTGTTTACAAGTGTAACAGCTGCAAGAGAGAATTTTTTCTCATTTCACTGTGTTGTATTAAAATAAGTTAGTTAGTTCTATTATGTTAGCTCTCAAGCACAGATCCTGCTTCTGAAATTACATTACCAGTGAAACTGCTAGAAATACCTTTTTAACATACATAACATACATGCATAACAACAACACCCATCCATCCGTCCATCCATATGTGTATGGACTTTTCTTAACACAGCTACATAAGAACACTTCCTCCATACAAGGACATTTAAAAAACCCAACTGATTTTGCAAAGCAAAAATACAACTTGTATTGTTCAACTGAAGCAAAATACAGCATATTTACTGAAGAAGAAAACTTATTCTGAAACAAAGAGAAATCCTGCTACACTCAGCTATGACACTACCACACACACGAAAGACACAACAAGGGAACAGCTGCAGAGACAGTATTTGATGAAATGGTCAGATAGTGTACTCAGTTGAAAGTGCTTGCAAAAAAATTAGGTTAGTATGAGAATAGCTGGATGAGTGCAATGGTATAGAGTGCTTCAAAAGGGAAGAATGACACTCACATATAATGGGAAAGACCATAAACAGATCATTACTTCACAAGGAAAGTATCTTGGCAGTAACACAACACAAGAAGCTGTGATAGTCAAAGTGGAGACATAATCAATTTCTGTCACAGGTTAAGGGAGTACACAGCTAGAAATCCTGGATGTAACCAAGGCTGGATGAAGGCTAAACATGGGTGGGGCCTGCTTTTAGGTTGGGGTTAACCAAATTCCATGTATGGTAACAGGTAAGACTGAAATAGCAAAGCTCAGAGAAGCAACAGATGTCAAGGCAGCAGAGGCCACACATCTGCATCAGGAAATGGTCTGCACCAAAAGAATTCCATCAGTAGACAGAGAGACAGAGAGCCAGCACTGCAGATCTGACATCTTTACTATATAAAACTTCCAGCAGCTTTTAAGCTTAACAGCTGAGTTTAGTCTGTTCCTGCAGACTGAATGCCCATTATCTGTTGGGATTGCTCCTACACTGCTCCATGAAGTGAACCAAAATGCAGTATTAGCATTTAAAGAAAGATTCAGTTAAAAAAATATTTTTGACACATCTGTATCTATGTAAAACTGAATATAATACTGTTTCTGACCTGGAGGAGGCCAGGGAAGCCTTAAAGATGAACAATTTCATTGGAATGATGTGAGCGAACAAAGTACTAAAGAAAGCAAATAAATGGGAAAGAGAAAGTAGTAGTGATCAAACACCTGTAGCAGACAGAAGTGTTGCAAGAGAGAAGGACGTTCTAAGGCAGCAAGCAGAACTGAAGTTTTAGAAAACTGAAAGTCTTAGAAAAACTGAAAACTGAAGTTTTAGAAAAGAATGGAAATGTTGATTTGATGAATAACAAAACAAAGATATATTTGTAAATTAATGAGGTATGTACTGGGGGAAGGAGAGGAAATGAGAGAAGACAAACTCCAGAAATCAAAATATACAACAACTGAAACTAATTTGTCCAGATGCTGATTACAATTTATGTTTCTGCTGTGCTTTCTAAGATGATGAAAACTTTCACCAATAAAGTTGTTTTCTTAGGTTAATGCTAATAAAGCAACCAACAAAAATGACAACTAAAAAGATATAATTTTTAAACTAAATTTAAAGCAATGATATTAGAGGTTATTTAGCAGAAGCATTCACTCTCTGGGATAATTTTTATCCTTCTGTGTATATACAAATGAAGAAAAGACTATTAGAATTTTAAAATTATTTCCCAAGAGGATTCTTTCCTGCAGTTAGGGAAATATTTGGAAAAAAAAAAAAGGCCTTCTTTCAAAAAAGCTTAGTCAATGCAGCATGCATCTACAGGTTCAGCTTTTAGAATTTTCCTACAGTCATATTCAAGTGCAGATAGGAGAATACATACATATCTATACAGACACAAATACAAACAGAAAAAGCCTTAAAATATTTTAGAAATCTTCTACTTAAGTACCTTTCAGGAAAATTGTTACTATAAGGAATTGATATCTTTCAAGTCAAACATATAATTTTATCACAATCTGCAATCATTTGTATACAGATATATATACATTATATATTGATTACAAATATATACATTTGTATATATTTGTAATCATTTGTAAATGTATGCGTATAAATTTTATGCGTACAAAAATATATCCTACTGAACTTCAACATATAGCCAGGAATTTGCTATTAGCAGTTGAACTACTAACAATGCTCTAATAATCCTTTCCATTTAGGACATCTGTTTCTAATTAAGGAACTACAGGCCCCTCTGTGAATGGTCAAGAACCATCCAAGCACTGAACACTGGGAAAGGTGCACTCAAGCACTCCTCCTGCTAACAGTGCTGTGCAGTCAAACAGCTGCCTTCAAGTTCACTCAATGAAATACAAGGGTTTGTAGGATTAGGTGACCCAGTCTTTATTTAGGAGCATTTAAAATCGACCAGAGAATGAGAGCTTTTAGCAAGCCATGTTTTCATCTGATTCATTAGTGTTTTCAATCCAGCCTTATTTTTCAAGCAACCATTTCAGAGATTGGAGTTATAATCATTGGAATGATATTCACAATAGGATGCAAAGTATTCCTGGTAGAAAGGGAAATGATTCTCTGGTTTAAAAAGGCATCTTAACTTTCAATACATGGCACTGCCAAGTAAAATAATAATGCTGCATATAAAACAAGACATGTTTAGTAATAATAATCT